GAGCTGTTCACCCAGAGGTAGCACCCACTGTAACCCAGGCAGCAGCACCGGCAGCAGGCATGAGTCTGGTAAGTATTTAAGCATTATTTAAGTAAGTGAGGCTTATGCTCAAATAGTCTCTTGCGGGAACGGGGCTTTTATGAAATCTTTTGCCTTCTGCACTTTGACAAATGCTGGTTTATTGACAAAAGTCCAGTTTTCCTGGCAGAGGAATTACTCCTGTTATCCTGGAAATGTTATACTTCCATTATACTTTTATTGTTGTTGTGCCTGGAATTACTTTGCCTTTTGATGCTAATGCTAAGAATTATTATCTATAGCCTTCACACAGTCTAAAATGTTGTGAAAAGTAACAGTTTTCAGCGAGGCTTTGAGCAAGCGAGATGTGTTTCACAGCTTCTTTTTAATCATTTTCTAAAGAGCTTGATCTGAAGTCCATTAAGGAAAATACTCCCATTGCCTGCTCTCATTTGAAAGACAAGTGGAAGAGTATAAAGTGCAGTCACTTTGAACCTACCCGTGGCATAAAATCATGGCACCACTGAAGATGATATGAAATTTGCTGTCCATTCCAGCTGGATTGGTATTTCACATCTCTTTCTTCTTGCATTTGAAATGCACTGTCTGGATTCTCTGCTCTGCTCTGTATTCTTATCCCTGTCCTGAAGTAGATCTCAGTACATCTGGACATTGCTCACATTCTTTGCTTTAATTCACTTTCCTGGTAACTAATTACTCAAGAGTCCATGGCATTTTTGCATAAGTTCTGCCAGAATTTGAAATTTTGAATATTTGAAAATATTTACTGGTAGTTTCCGTGTATACTTTAGGTAACAACCTCTGTTTCGAACAGCTCTGAAACTTCATTAGCTCACATGATGGTTTCTCTCTGTTAAGCCCTGTTTGATCTCTTGGGAGAGCCATGGCATTCTTAGTTTGCCTAAACATTGAAATGTAAAAACTTTTCTTCAGGTCACAGATTACCTGGTCAGCACATGTGGCTACAAAGCCCTCTTAGAGGATAAATCAGGATGCGATGAATCATTCAAGTCTCAATTCTTAGGAAAGAATATAGAAAAAAGATCTCAGCTAGGCATCACAAAACTTCAGCAAAAGAGCCATAACCAGTAACTCATCTGTGAGCTGACTTAACTTCATACTAGAAGGCTTTTTTTTTTTTTCATTAGGGTAAATTTCAGACTTATTTGACAAAATAGAACACTAAACATTTTGGTAATATAATTTTCCTTCATACCTCAGCGGGAAAGTTTACATTTAATTGACTGAAGCATTTCTTAATTGAAATAAGCTGAGGTAAGAATAGAGCGAGCCACGCTGCAACTTTTGAGTGTGAAACCACCTTTGCTGTTCCTGCATTGGGCAAGGCCCTCAGCAAGTTTCACGGTGCCCTCAAACATCAGTTTCCCCCAGCCTTCAGGGCAGCGTGTCCCAGGCGAAAGCTTGGCACAGGACATGGCTGAAGACGGCATGGCTGGATCTCATGCACTCGTGTTTCCTGCCCAGCATTGCAGGCATTCTCATGACATTTCACTTCTTCAGTGCTGCTTCCTCTAATGCCATAAACTGGTCCTGCAAAACAGGTGAAAACTAGGAAGACTGGGAATGGTGCTGTTCCCAAGCTGACCTGTGATTCATGGAGAGGAAAAGACTGGGTGGTTTTCAGTCACTGATGTATTTAGAGGGTCTGGACATTCAAAGATATTTCTCTATATTACTGTCTGTTTACAGACTGTTTTTTCCTATATATTTACCTAGATTGGATGTTTTAGGGGACCGGGATTGTCTCTTTGCTTTGTCCCATTTCAATATTCCACTTTCTTGTTAGAACTTTCAGATGCAACTGCAATAAAAATAACAGGGCCGTAATATTTGGTGGTGAGAAACTCGCTAAGTTGGCTCCTTAAAGCTCGGGAGCCCCACTTACGAACATAGGACACGTGGCTATTTTTTGGTACAGGTCAGATAGATGCAGTCACTCAGGTGACAATGTTGCTGTCAGCCAAGGACTGGGTCTCGCACCACCATGTCGTGGCTGCCACTTGGGCCGCTCTCCCGCCAGGGTGAAGCGCCAGCCCCGTGTTACACTGCAAGCAGCAGCCTCTGCAGCCTTTGCCTTTGCACAGCGCAGCATGGTGGGAAGATCTGCAACTCACATGTTCCTCGTTCCTAAATCCACCCCTAAGCAGGACCAGGTCTTTCAACTGGGTAAAATTTGATGACAGTGTGAGATGAGAAGTTGGAGAGGTGCAAGTGAAAAGACTGAGCTGAGACAATCGAACACACAAACTGTGGAAAGCACCCTAATGAACACGGAATGAAATTCAGCTTCGGAGAACACACTGAATAGATTTGCATAGAAAATATAGGATGGAAAGTGTATCTCAGGTAACAGAGGCCAAGCATTTATTCACAGTCAGCAGCACTGGTTGTGTGGAGGTTTCCCTTCTATTTCAGCTGTTGCAGGATGATTCCCATGGCTTAAGTGCAGTCCTCGTGCGAGGGGCAAGGCGCAGGATGAGGCGAGAGGACACAGCTGGTGTGTGTCCTTGTTGGGCTGCACACAGAATCCTAGAATCACAGAATCCTTAAGGTTGGAAGGGACCTCTAGAGATCACCTAGTCCAACCCCCCTGCACACGCAGGGTCACCTAGAGCACGTGGCACAGGACTGCGTCCAAGTGGGTTTTGAAGATCTCCAGAGAAGGAGACAGAAATAACAGACAGCCCTGGAAGACCAATCTCACGGGCAGGAGCCAAATGCTGGGAAGACCTTTCCCTGAAGCCACCTGGCAATTCAGAGGAGAACCGGTGACCACGCACAGGCCAGTTACCTCTGTAGGTGTCGTGTATGAGGTAGCCACATACACATCGCTTACTTTGGGTTTAAGTTGTTCAGCTCAGACTGTGGAGCCTCAGCTGCCTGAAGTTGCTCCACAGCGAATCACTTATTGATATGTCCTTTTAAACATCTTTGTGACATAGCAGCAGGACTCCTATTTTTAAAACCCAATTTCTTTTGCCTTCCCTGAAGCAGCGCTAATTTACACTGTGAAAGGATTGGGCCTCTCCTTCCAAACCTGATATCTTTTAAGGAGAGAAATGAAGGGAAGAAGCAGCATGAATCACAGCTGGTGAAAAATGTAGATTTGAAGGTGAATTTAATCAGCTCTGAGGCACATTAGAGCATCCTGCTGATTCAGCAGTGGGAGCAAACAGGGGAAAAAAAAGCTTAAAAAACAAGCCCCATTCTAGCTCCTCTCCAGCATCTGATCACCTGGTGCACTGAGCACAGGGCTGAGCTCTCCTCTGCATTTGACAGGTGGCTGGACACGGCCTGTGACAATTAACTCCCCGTCATGCGTCTGCCTCCACTGCGGCCAGAGCTGGTTCGTGCTCTGTGCAGCCTCATGGCAGGGCCTCAGGACGCGCTGGTGTTTGTGCTTCAAACAGGGGCCAGAAATCAGTGTAGCTCTGCGCATGGCGTTTGAGAAGCTGGGAACATGAAACTGGAAGCAGAACAAGGCCTAATGTGTGTTCTGCGTACAACTACAAGCATATAAATACAGAAGTGGAATACAGCAAGGCGCTGTGATTTTTTTTGTGTGTGTTAATGGCTATGATATTACTGTCAGCTTCAACTTCGGCTCTTGTTATTGTTCATTTCCTTTAATAATTCATTACATCATCCAATCTTATGTTGTTAGTAATAAATATTAAATACCCAAGCTGTGAAACATGAATTAGGTATCTTCTTTATATGAGAGGATTCCTGTATTTGATTTAAATGTCAATTAAAAGATGAATATAAAAAATGCAGTGATTCTGCTAGCACTGGAGGGAACGAAGCCTGGTTTTCTGTAGATACATGACTTAAAGTTGAGTTTTGTCAGATCTAGGTAGGTGTCTCAATTGAGTGCAGCTTTTCCAAAGTGAGGTGATTTGCAGTCCTGTGCTGTGCAGATTCTCTGATGCCTACTAAGGACTGTGCTCATACAGTAACGTAACATTCATGGCTGTGGTGACTATAAATAGAAACTCTGACCCCATTTTCATGAAGCTTCTAGGAATTTAATATCTTTGAGCTCATTATCCTTCTTCTAAACTCAGAAAAAAATTGGCCAAGAACATCAACATCTGTTAGCTGGAATGAGTAGACAAAAGAATTGACACAAAATGAGCACAGCACAACAGGATAATATTGTTTTCTCTGCTAAGGTTCATTCTAATTCAGTTTTCAATCTAATTTCTCTATCTTTGAATAGCTAAGTGTTCTATATATTTGTGAAGAAAATCCCCAAACCTTGAAGTGCTGCCCTTGTACGTATAAGGTGCTTTGTACAGTGAAAGCTTACGAAAGACAAACTAGTCTAAACTCTTACATCCTAAAGCATCTCATTCACGTGAAGAGCTATATCAATAAACTCAGAAATTAATTTCATCCATAAAACCCAGAAGTGATTCTGAAGTTACTGCTAACTGCCATCTAGCCAATCCCCTGCAAACTGATGTAAACACAGTCACTAACAAGGTGGTTTGGGGGCCCTGGGAGACAGGGGTATATTTGATTTGGTTCCTTGCTTTGTGAGATGGCATTTCAGCTAATCTGCTAATATCTTTTAATAATCCTGGCAAAATTGCACAGGCAGTTGGCCCTCAGACATAACATTAGGATTGCACAGGAACGTTGGGATCTGGAAAGAAAAATGCATCCCATGGTAAAACGAGCACAATCAGATAACACATTGGGTCTTAATTCTTTCTCACAGGACTCCAAACGTGCTGCAGGAAAGCGAGTTCCATCATTTACTGGTCAGCTGCAATATGGCAATACGATATTTCCAATATAAAAATCAGTAATAAGCATAGAGGTGAAAAAAGCTGATATATATTCAGCTTGCTGTGTCCAAGAAAAAAGATGATGAAAGCATTTAAATACTAAAAGTAGCACTGCATTTTTACTACAGTTTCTGTGATAGAAGTTTTTTTTTTTCTTTTTTTCTTCCCCTATTCCCCCCAGGGTCTCCTTACCAGAGGATGGCAGTCTTAAGCTCTACAACATTACCAAATCAGATGTGGGAGTGTACACTTGTATGGCAACAAATCAATTTGGAGTGGCCAGAAACTCAGGAAACCTGGTTGTGAAAGGTATTTTAGTGTCTTCATTTGTTCTTCATGAATGCTGGAATGCATGTGCTTTTTGCTGAAACACACTGGGATGTCCAAGACTCTGCCAGTCAGTATTGACAAATTTTCACTTGCGATTTGAAGCTTTTCTTGCAGCAAAGACAATCTCGTGATCGCATCACTCCGATGATCCATGTATTTATCACTCCAGCCTCCTAAGATACCAACGGACAAGTGTGGTAACTTTATGAGAATATTTGCACTCCAGTACACCTTTAGAAGTTGCAGACATGGACTGCAATATTGCAACCATTGGGCAAACAGTTTCACAAGATGCAATTTGGAAATTCAGTGGACTTTTTGCAGTGTGCTTGGATAAGTTTATTCAGCTCATTTATAATTTATATCACATCTCAGACTACAGAAGAGTCTTCAAAGCTGTGCTGACAAAAAGAAATAAGATGTTCTGAAGTTCAGGTGGTTTAATTTTCCTCAGCATGGTGCATATATGTTGCATATGCTGTATTCCTAATCACAAAGCCACATACTTCTGATCTGTGTCCCAGTTGCTGCATGCTACTTTGGTAAATAACTCCAAAACAATGCAGAGACAAGCAAAAAGGATTCTTTAGTCCTTCACATGACTTTTTAAATTTTGAATATTAAAATGGCCTTCCTTAGTAAAGCTCTCCCCAGTGTAACAATTCCATTACTAATAAATCAAGGAGCAGTTAGGGATCTCCTATACTTTGAGACTATTTTCTTTTCCTGGATATTAATACCTTAAGATGTCTCATTTCAAATTGCAGACCATTATTTGAAAACAATCATGGGATTTTTTCTTGCTTGTATTTCCTTAAATATGATTTTTTGTTTGAGCTAAGCCAATTTGATAATTAAGTACAAACGTTCATGTAACTAAGCAGATTCTTTTTTTTTTGAAGGGAGAGTGAGGAACATCATCCTCTCACATTACTATTATTTTCTTCTCCATGGTGTATATGAACTAAAATTTTAATTCTCCTCTTTAAAGAGAAAGCAACCTGTCTCTTTGGAGTCATCACTATGAACTGGTACAAGTCAACTTTCATTATAATAAGTCAAATCCTAAGACCAAGTGACTGAGATGTGTCAAAGTGCAATGACCAAATTAGTACATGATGTTTCCCAAACTTTACATGGATGTCAGTGAAAATTGCTCTGTCACTGGTTCCTCCTGCATTTTTGGGGGGCTTTTTTTGTGTCCCTAAATGCAGATGTCACCTGTCCCGTTCTGCAGTAGCTGGATATGAAGCAGGAATATCCTGTTAGGTTGGATGGCGAGGTTTCTTCCTTTGCTGTTATTGCCCGTGTCCTCGCCGCGTGTCCTCTCTGAGGGGACAGGCTGCGGCCCCTCGGACGGCCCCTTGCTTTGCCCCTGCCCTCCAGGCGGAGCAGACGGCTACAGTGCAGCGCTGTGGGCAGTGGGAGGTGCAGACATCAGCTCCCTGTACTGGGAAGAATTTGACCCCTCGCTGGATGAATGTTGCAATGGTGGCACTCCAGCTATATTTTAAAATATATTTAAAGTATATTTCATCCAAAATAGATCTTCGCTTCAAGCTTTTGCTATATTCTAGCTCCGCCAGGAAACAGCATTAGCACAGTCCACCTATCCTTTAGGTGGCTTGGTCAGGAGCTAAAGAACATAAAGAGTTATTGTTGGCACAGATATTCTTGTGAACACCAGGTGAAATGGCCATGTTCCATATCCGCTGATGTTTGAGAACTTAGAGAAAAAAAAGAAAAACTGGGCAAACCTAGTTTGTTTTTTTTCTATATCTCCTGCACGATCTTTTCAATAGAGGTATTTTCTTATACAAATATTCATATTTGCTGATCAGAAATGAGGAGAACAAGTTAAAACATTTAACTTGTCAAATAACAGAAAACACTTATCAGGTATGCATAACATAACATAAATAATTGCAGTTGCAAGAGCACATTATTAAACATAATTTGTAGGATTTTTTCTTAATAAACTTATTTTTAGTGATTTCAGAATCAGTACTCTAACCTGCAGGGGCAACTTCTTCCTTAACCTATTGCAGGTGGCTAAAATATTTTTTGTGTTTGTATGATCAAAGCGCAGTTATCACTGTGCAAGGCACCATGTACTCAGAGACAATGTTCCAGCACGGCGAGCACTGAATAAAACCAGGAGTGTAGAGTTTAGGCAGCTCTGACTTCATGAGGGTTATATACCATTTCACATATCCTATGTATACATAATGGAGCAGCATGAGAAAATCACATTAAAAAAATGAAAAAAATAAGAAGAAGTTTGGCATTTACAAAGTTTATTAAAACCCCGAGTAACAACATGGTATAAAAATGATCTTGTTTGCAGGGAACATTTGTTTTTGTTTCCCCTCTGGAGAAGTTTTGGCTGTTCAATTATAGGCCTCATTGCCTCAGCATTATTTTCAACTGAAATGTCAGAACTTGGAAAAGCATATCTAATGTGCAAATTAAGTTTATTGCTGCTCATTGAGTTGTTTATTCGTTGTGTGAGAAGTCTTTATTATACCTCAAGCACTCACAACATCTTATCTCTTTTCTCCTCTGGAATGGGATTTGCTGTATAATATGTATCTGCAGTTGCTAAGCAAGATAGATAGATAATGTACAACCAAGAGCTTTTAAGAAGCTTTTAAAAGTATTTGAGCTGAGAGTCAAAAACATGCTCCATAAAAGAAGCAGAAAATATGGCATGCATGAACAAATGCATCAGTGCTGTCACTGATATAAGCAGGCTACAGTAGAAGGAAGATAGAAGAGGATGATGGTCTCCTGAGATGGAGTTTTTGCAAACACTGCTAAAAACATACACCACAAAAAGCCAGTGTAATTCATTATTGGACAGTTTTGAACATTCACTTGGCAGAGGCGAGTAACTTCCTCCCAATAAGAGTTCTTATAAAACGGCATGTAATTATTGAGATTTGTCATATTTTATAAAGAAACCTTTATGCTCTCATATTCCAAAAATATAATTTCAGTAATGGATTCCATCACACAGGTTTTTTTCACTTCATTTATCTGTCCCTTAAAGTGGCATCCTGCAGGTTTTAACAGTGATAAATGGTGCCTAGAATTTCTAATCCAACTAATATATTCTGTAAGAGGGCTTGCAGTTGTCTTATTTGTGATCTGTTTGGACGTCTGTTTGCACATCATTTTCTATTTGTATGCAACAGCTTTGGGAATGTAGCCATTGAACCTGATTACAAATTTTGCGCATCTTGGGCTTTAGAGTCTGTCTGAGAGACCTGGGAAGTTGAACCACTTTACCACCATTTAGTCCTATCCAGGTAGGGAGCAAGGCTATGCTCCAAGGTAGTGCTCAGGAAATGTGCTGCTGCCAGTCCCATCCCCTGGCCTTGTGGAGGAGCCTCAGCAGAGGCCATTCCCAGCCCTGCAAGCAAGGCGCTGGGCAGGGGTTCGGAAAAGCCGCTCCGCTGTGGCCGTCTTCCCAGCGCTGGTGCTCAGAACGTATCCAGTGGCCACCAAGGCTGGGAGGCAGAACAGGCTGTGTGCATCCTCCACTAAATCAAACATAATCTGTCAGCTTTGAGCTGACAAGCATGAGGTCTTTCCTGCACAGGTAAAGACAGAACAGACAAAAGGCAGGCAGAGTTTGGGAGGAGACTGTCACAGTCAGTGAGAGCAGCAGAGAGTTTGCACCCGGTCTTAGTGTGCCGAGGAAGGATTTTGTTTCTTTGCTGGCCAACTTAATTGGCCTTTGTAGTTTATTATAGAGCTGCACACAGTAGTAGACCTAAGCAGGGAGATAGTCCTATGGGACGGCCTTGAAGGAAGAGTGCAGGGCGTATGGAGAACCATACCGGGCTAGTACCTAGTGCTTCTTGACTAGCTAGCGGCAAAAAGAAGTTCCAGGTATCACAAGACTTCAGATCTTTGACATACACTTGCATATTGCTTCTTTCTTCTTCTTTTAACATATCCAGCATTATTACAAGTAACAGCAGAATACTTCACAAAGTTCTTTTTCTTCCACTTTGAGAAATATAAAGTACAGGAGTAAAAGAGCGAGAAAATCTTGTGGAAGTCCTCTGTAGTTCTCAGATACTTTTCAACATTACTCTGTAACGTTACCTGGGCTGTTGCCTGTGTGTCAAATAGATTCAATTGAGGTTTATGGAGCCAGATTCTTTGCCAGTGTAGGCTGAAGTCAGTGGAGTTGTGCCAACAAAGAATATGGCCCTTGAGTCGTCTGGATTTTATTGCGTCTTACACTTTGCTTTCAGGGAAAGGGGGAAATTTCTCTAAATAATGATCAAGAATCTTCAAGACTGTCATCTGAGGCCTTCACACTTCTGCAGTTTTTGACACCAAACAAACTGGTGAAAGTGATAGTTTTAAATAGCTAAGAAGAGCAATCAGAGTATGCAAAAAAATCTGAGAAAGTGTGTTCCAGCTCTTAAGACCTTATGGGAATACCTGCTCTAGACTGTGAGCTTCTTAATGATACCAGAAAGAAAAATCCCCTAGTTTGTTTAGAGCAATGCAAAATAGGCTTTTTGTGTTCCTTGGAAAATATAATTTGCTACCTACATCAGGTAGGTAGCACTGCAACTAGTGAGGTCCAAGTTCTATTTCAAAAGACTAGCAAAAAATCAGTATTCCACCTCGCTGCTATCTGACCACTGTTTTAACAGTCGCCAACAGTAGCTCTGTGAAGAAGCCATTTTGCCCAGTTCTGCTAAATTATTAATCACTTTCTGCAAAGTCTCTGGGAGTCTGAATGAAAATGTGTTTGAAGGTGATGTCATATCTTGTGTCAATCCTTTGGAACAAAGACCTCGGTAAAAACAAATCCTGAAATTTTAAAATACATTTATAACACATGGGGTTAAGCCAAAATGAATGTTGAACTAATACCACTTCTGCAAATTTTCTTCTCCTCATCTAACATTATTTTCAGAACATATTAATATTATTGAGTAGATTCTCCTCCCATTTTATTCATGTGCTTCTGAATTCTCACCGTTTTGTAACACTTTCAAACACAAAAGCTTTATTCAAGAGAACTGCTTACAAGAAAGTGGTTGTTATCTTTAATCTATCTGCCAGTCATGCCAACAAAAGTGAGGCCATGTAACCCCATTTCTTTTCCCTTCAACAAACGCCTACTTCTCCTATTAAGAGCAACTTTGTTTCTCGGTGTAAAGAGTTAAAAAAAATACATAGTTATTCTATTTTTTGAGAGATCTCCCTTGGAGATGTAATGTAAGCAACACTACGCAGTAATCTACCACTACCATTAATATAAATTAAAAAGCAGAAGAATTTCAGTATATTAAGGGAAGGCAGACACCAATTTTGCTTTTGCTGCAAGAGGAGTTTCAAAGTTGAGGCTTATTTTTAACTTTTTTAGTGATGAATTCTGCACTTTCTGAGCTGAGATCATGTCTATTGGCTATAGGCTTTACAAAGTAACGTAGGGCTAATTTAGTATGTTGCTTCTGACATCCACAAACTCTGTGTGAGGCACACAGTGTACTCCTACTGATACTGGAGAAGAGGCTCTGTGTAGGTAAGAGTGTTCTGAAATCATCACTATATTACAGATAATTTTCTTATGTAACTTTCTGGCCAATTTTAAACCATTTCACAAATGGTACAAAACCCATTCGGGATCTACGATTTTAAGAAAAGAGATTTTTGTGTGTGTCCACAGAAAGGACTGTAATTACTTTTCCACCTTCTAATATGGATGTTACAGTTGGAGAAAGCATTGTCCTTCCCTACGAGGTGTCTCATGACCCCTCTGTTGATGTGGTATTCACCTGGTCCTTCAATGACAATGTAATTGATTTTAACAGATTTTAACAGAGGAATACATCATTTTGAAAGAATTGGAGGAGTAAGTTTTCTTAAATTCCATAGTACTTAACGAAGCTATTTGCCACAATCTTTAAACCACATCAACATTGACCATAATTCTTTCATCATTATTGATATGCGTGGCAAATAACTGTTGCTTTATAAGGACTGAAGCCATTTATTTCTCTCCCTTAAATTTCATAAGGATGCTTGAGTTATTTGTGAAGCCATAATAAAAATGTCCACATGCAAAAAAATGATGATAGCTATGAATATTTTAATTTAAAAGATGAAGTTTTTATTAATATTGAACAATTTATAAAAAAATGTCTAGGATGGAAAGCATGTTGTGAGTAATAAGTTTATTTTCTTTGTATCTCCAGGAATCTGTTGGGGATTTGATGATAGGAAATATCCAACTGCATCATTTTGGGAAGTATGTCTGTACAGTACAAACAACTATAGACAGACAATCCACAGCAGGAGATATAATTATGATAGGAAATATCCAACTGCATCATTCTGGGAAGTATGTCTGCACGAGGTACGAGGTCTGTCCATTAAAAGTAGATGTCTCTCTCATGTCTTCTCTTTCATGTCTTCTGAAAGAATTAGAAATTCTCAACATCGTCTGCTGTTTGAGAAGTCCTAGAATGCTGATTTAATAAGCATTAACCACTGTATTAGTGAAACCACTAATACAATGGTATCTATCATCTACCCTTGGGTCTAGGTTTCAATTGAGCTGCTGGCCAGGCTGTTCCAGGTCTGCTGCTAGTGCAGGGAAATGCACGTGGTTGTGTCCTGGCCTTTGGGGAAGGCAGATTTCTCTTGCTGTGAACAGACAAGTGTCACCTGCTCCTCTCTGCGTATCGCTGCAGCACTCAGCAGCTTGCCAAAGGGACACAAAAACAAAACACCTTTCTTCCTCCAGTATCTGCAGATTGCATGAAAGATGATTTTCTATGGTCACCTCAGTGACCAGACTAAAGATTTAGCTAACCCTTTCCTATCAGCAGCAAGAGGAAAGCTGTGATGGAAGTACATCCACTTTATCCTTACCAGAAATTAGAAATCTGCATGGTGTGCAATTTTGCATTCTTTCTAAAGCTCAGTTTTCATTAAATTCAGAAGAAATTCTGCAAATGTTGTACGATATAACAAAAGTGTGTAATTTTCTTTGCCAGACAAAACTCAAAACCCTATTTATGATTTTCATTAGTAACATAAAGATATTTAGTTTCCTGACTTCTAGAAATCTCTCAAGAATTTAAAAAATGAAATGCAGACTCTACATTGGGTTTACATTTAAAATGTATTTCAGAGACTGCACTGTTATGAATCTTCACCTTCCTAATTCCAGTGCCTTAAGAGTGGCCCATCTAGTCAAGCACTTATTTTCTCTTTTAAATACTTTTATCTTAAAATATATATTCATGTTAGGCCCCCGAGGTCCACCCGAAGATGTTAAAGTTGATCATATTTCTAGCTCTACTGCTCTGTTATCATGGAAAGCTGGGGTAGATAATAACAGTCCAGTCCAGATCTGCAGTGTTCAGACAAGGACTCCTTTCTCAGTTGGATGGCAGGCAGTTTCAACAGGTGAGCAATTTGAGAGCTCCTTTGTATTTTTGTTGTATACCATTATGCACTGCAAAAAGAAAATATTTCCATTTACATGTCTATCTTGTCTTTAGTTCCTGAAGTCCTTAATGATAGGACTCACTTGGCAACAGTGGTTGACTTAAGCCCTTGAGTCGAATATGAATTCCATGTGGTGGCCAGCAATAGTGTTGGAACTGGGGAGCCAAGCAAACCATCGGCACTGTTGAAAACTAAAGCAGCAAGTAAGTTCCTGCCTCCTGCCAGCCTGTTTTAGAAAGTCAGGTTGGTACGTTGGTTGTATTCCCTTTGACATCTCCCAAAACAGACAGAACACCCATCCCGAACGCAGGCTTTCACTCAAGCAATTGGAAGCACCATTTTGTTCCCTTCAGGGATAACTTGTTTATAGCCTATTCTGTTACTTGAATGGAAAGGGGTAATGCCCACTCTGATGTATCTTACTACAAACAAGTAGTGCCTGTGCTACAGAGGCGTTTTGATAATGTGAGCATCAGCAAGGACAGGATATTATTGCTTTAACTACAGCAAATAAGTTAAAATGTGAAAAGCCTGGTGAAGCTAATAGCTTGCAATGACTCCAACGTGGAATTCTTCGTAGCAGTCTGTCTAACCTTTATACATTTATCTTCCTGGGACATGGAACCTCATGGGAAGAAGATTCATTCTTGGCTGACCGATACTGTCAGTCCTCTGACTTGCTCAGTTAGGTACAATTTATTTGAAGCCCAAGCCTTTGGTTTGTTAATGTTTCCCCCAGTCTTGTGCCTATCAACACTTTCCCACCTAGAAAATCAGTATTCATAGGAAGGAAAGCAGTGAAATGGAAGCAGGTTTTATATGTTCTCTGTTTTATGCTTATCTAATTTGCTTTGATCTGAAGCTTGGCAAGTTGCCTTTCAAGACTGAACTCAAAATACAGTATTGTAGGTTATATAGTAGCAAATACACATACGCTCAGAAAGAGGCCGTCCAATTGCTCCTTAGAATATTTACTAGATATTTTTGGAAGAGGCCATTTTGATCCAAAGGTACTTCAAAATGTATTAATTTTATCAATAACAGAAAAAAAAAAGTCAATCATTAGAACAACAGTTTAAATAGCAGAAACTCTCAGATTGCCAGATGCAGAAGAATCAAATGAGACATATTAGCAGTCCAGAACTCCTTACCTGTGCAGCAGTGAAACTGAACACAAGGGCTGCGCACACACCGTGAAGGGCAAGAGCTGAGACCTTCCAGCACTGATGCAGGCAGCAGCTCTGCCTGGGCTGAGGTAGCTGGGGGGGAAATCTGTGCCACAACATGGTACACGGCTCTTCAGCTGGAGGACCACAAAGTTTTCATTGCATCAATGTGCAATAGGGAGATTAAAGAAAAGCTGCAGGCGGACAGGAAGAAGCCAGGTTTTCCAGTCCCCATTGGAGTGCCACAAATGTGTGCTCTGCATTACCTGATTGATCATGGGATCAAGGGTAATATAGAGAGGGTCTGTCCTTCTTGCTGCCACCTTGGGGGGCTCCAGAGTGTGATATTCCAAACCACCTATTCAATCAGTAAACGCTTTCTTTAATTTTATTACGTTTACATGGATAGGTCTAGAAAGAAAAAAAAAAATCATATAACATGGCAATAGCATAAGAAATAGTTTTCTTACAGCGTAGCCTAGTCTGAAGCTCCACAAAATGAGCGGAAAGACTTGCTGCAGGATTTAGTTACTTAACCCATAAACTGCTGTAGATGATCCTGTCGCGGTACCGTGCTGTGCATATGGGCGAGGCACAGCTTATCTTCCTCAGGAGAGGAAAATGAAAGCAGAATCACAGTGTGGAAGGCAATAGACTAGCAGTGAAGGGGTGAATTCTAATTTTCCTCTTGTAAAAGCCATTTTATGAGCTAAAATCTGATTGAGCATTAGAAGATTTGTGGATGCAAATGAGCCACTGTTTGTTTCAATAAAATGGACGTGAGAATTAATTGAGCCTCTGTCCATGCACTCAACTGTAAATTTTCAACTATTTTTCAACTATGGCGAAGTTGAGGCTGTTCTGAGCAACAGTGTACATCTTTCCTCATGCAAATGTAGTGAGTACTGAACACATTTAACACATGCACTCACTGAGCATCCATTGGTTCAAGAAGAAATGAAATACTGAGTAAGCCCTGCTTGTTAGTTTTTTTTCCTTTAATGTTGTTCTTTTCAGTCTTAAATTGTTTACCTCTGATTTGCACAAAAAGTTAACTGTCACTTACAAAATTAAGTATCTATGGTAAATTCTCCAAAAAGAGACAAAATGGCCAAATGTCCATTTGTACTTGCAGTCACTTTAAAACTGCAGAACAAAATAAGCTTCAAATTTCTACATTACTAGAGAGAGAGATTTAGATGTAGACTTGAATCTAGCAGTGAAAGTGTGTTCACATATTTAATAGCAACATGTATCACCATGAACTTAAAAGGCCCACACCTGCTTTATTTATGAATGAGATTCACTTCAACTATCTTAAACTACCAAAAAATAATTATTTAATCTAAGCAATTTAGTTATTTAAGTTGGGGAGAGTTGGAGACACTTTCAAAGTGTCATTGCTCTGTTTCAGACACCTATTACAGGAGACAAAGGGTAAGCCTAGAGGAGGTGCTCTCAGATGAGTATCAGTGTTCTCCTTGCCTCTTTGGATGGATGTTTGAGTGATGAGAAGCCCCTTTAGCTGGGGACACCAGCATGTTACCTGGTCTCCAGGATGGACTTACGGAGGTCCTTAACCAACATGGGGTACGTGAACCCCCAGTACATGCACTATTGGCCATTGTAGCCTTTCTCACTTGTAGGTGAGAAAGAAGTCTTGAATTCCCTAAGAAAAAGCATATAGCCAATTGAAAAAAAATAATATATTGCTCCAACAAAATGTTTACTGAATAAATGCACAGTTAGAAAATCAGTAGTGTTGCATAACCGTCTGAATGGAACATCATTTTGCCAATTAGTTGATGAGGTGTAATAATATCTGATACTTGATGTTACTAGCTTTTTTAATTTATTTTTGAACCAGAGTACTCATGTATCAAATACATCTGTGGCTTCAGCCTTAGAAACTTGAAAATGTGTAAACATAATTTCAGTTCATTTAAAATGTGTTGTTATATAGTGTCCCTGTTCTACGTGTTGAAAGGCAGAATAGCTACATACAAGACCAGTTGAGAGGAAAAGCTCTCATCTTTCAGTTGACAGGACTCCTTGTAGTGGGTAACTACAAACACGGAAATCCCTTTTTTCTCCAGTTCCTGAAGTGGCACCAACAAATATAAGTGGAGGTGGAGGAAGTCATTCCAAGCTTGTCATCACATGCAAGGTAATTGTAAAATCAAATAACTTAAGCTTTCTAATGAGGAAAAGGGTAGAATGTATGGGTGGAATCAGGGCCCTACTGAAATCCATAGGAGTTTGGTCACTGGCTTTTTATAAGCCAGGATTTCATCTCGCATCTTGAGAGGAAATAATTTGTTAAGTTATACAACAAGTTTTCTGTGCCACAGTGAACAGTTTATTAAACAGTTTTAAGAGACATTTTATAAAGATGTTTAGAAGTCCCTATAACCCTCTTATCTCCATTGTGCAGAAGGTGCTTAATACACTAATCTGCTTGGCCATTTTCTGCATTAACATTTTTCATAGATTGTTTACATGTTTTTCATTCTGGAATACTGTGCTGACAAGACATATCCTATTATGTGTTAAAGGAGATGAGCCCTTTAATTCTCTAGCACTCCAGTAAGAATATATTTTCCAAACGGTTGAAATACATGCTATGTACCGCAGTGTGCGAGCACAGGTCATTGCAGAGTGCAGGAAGTAAGCGCGGTGAGACGTAGCTCTCCTTCTCCTGCCATCTGGCAGCCTCCTGGCATGCACCAAGAGCAGCTCAGGAAGGAGTTTCCTCACAAACAGATGCAGGTGAAATGGCAGGCCCTTGCTCAGGGCTCCATTCTCTATGGAAAAACTGACCAAAATATCTCCTGCCCTCAGGATCCCTCATTACAGGTGAGAAATACCATCCATATGTAGGGAGCTGATGAGAACTGTGTAGACAGGGAACCTCACCTAGCACTGAGTGCATCTGTTTGATGGGGAGCTAACCCAGCACAGCAGGAGCTTGCCGTATGTTCCTGTGGCAGGAGGCATGCGTGGAGGAGGCTGATCAAAATGATCTCTGTTGAGCTTGCAACTTAGGTCTGGGCTTCCAAAACCACAGTTAGTTCAGGTTAAACAAAGCAAGTAGACCACTCTTTAAACTTGACTATGCTTTTTCCAAAGATAGAAATAACCTAACCCTTAGATACGGATTAAAGCAAATCAAAGGAATAAAATCGGTGTTAATCATCGACCAAATGAAATTTACCTATCTTTTGCTGTATGCTGAAAACCGCCATTTAACCAACATTTCTTGAGGTGAAGGGAAGTGACAGGAAGAAAAAGTGAGACTGAAAGAAAGAAAAAAAAAAAAGAATACTGCCAACCTTTTTCTCTTTGTATGCTCCAAATTGAGTGAAATTTCACTTTCACTGAACTGAATTCGCCTGTTAGATTCCATAGTGTGTCCTAAAAAACAGGCAGAAAAAATACTAATTATGCCAAGCCAACACTGAACACAACTCTTCAGCTTTCTGTGATGAACTGGCTGAAGACCTTGGTTAAATCTCTGGTCACAGAAGTCTCAAAAACACGTATAACTTCCACCACACCATTATCCTTCCCAGATATCCTTCCCAGTTTCTCTAATGAAGAGGAACTTGGAACTCAAAGTTATGAATCACTGAGACGCCTGCAGTAGTCCCACTGTTTCTCTTATTGCTCCTGTTTTGCACGGCTGCTTTCCAGTGCAGTTTTCTTAGCTGCGAGCACCTAAATAAACACCACTTTGCTTAGGAGTGCCTCTCCCTTTTTATGATCTCTTCTTGTTTCACAAATGTTCTTTTGCTTTAAGAAGTCAACATAGAAATTATTTTTATCACAAGAAAATAAAGTTCATGCTGGATGCGGTGTTGATAAAATTGCCTATTCAGTATGAGTCATTAATACATACCTTGATGGAGATTTTAGTAATAGAAACATTAATTTTGCCATGTTGACTGTAAGAGTAACATCTCTATTCTAAACAAACTGAAAAGTATTTTCAAGAAATTATTACTTCACTTGTACTAAAATTGCACTATACTTATATGCAGGCAATTATATCTGTGTATGTATTTGCTCCTCTATCAACTCTTTTATTTTCCTGTATCGAAATCATACAAAACTAGCATTTCTCTGCTCCTTGGGAAAAAAAAGAAATTCAGATAATACCTAAGCTGAGTGAAATGCTTTTAATTTTGAAAACTTCATGGATGAAAGAGAGTAGTCTTAACAGAGCTATTCTGATCTTTTGTTTCCAAATTGATTGCTTCAATAGATTTACTATTTTGATTTTTATTTCAATATTACATTGATTGATGGAGCAAACATTATTATCTTCTCTAAGGCACAGCCAACTAAATCAATACTACTAAAATATACTTAGAGAATGAAGATTCAATTAAAACAGTGCATAGTTGCAAATGCTTATTGACCGATTCCCTTGTTGCTATAGCCAGTTCCTGAAGAACTTCAAAGCGGGGAAGGTTTTGGCTATATAATCATGTTTCGACCTCTTGGCTCAGCAACGTGGACCAAGGCAGCGGTGGCATCAGTAGAAGTAAGCAAATATAGAAATGAAAGCATCACTCCTCTCTGTCCTTTCGAAGTGAAAGTAGGTGCCTACAACAACGAAAGAGAAGGGACCCTGAGCCCTGTATCTGTTGTCTACACAGGAGAAGACAGTAAAACTGCCTTACTGTATTAAAATATAGGTAGGAACAACACAGTACTTTAAAATTATCAAATGTAATGAACTGCCAGACCCTGTCAGATTCTGCCTAAATTCCAAAATGAACACACAGTAAGTGATTTCATGCTATGAATAAATCTTTTATTCTAATATGAGAGCAACAATGGACTGGAAAATACTTTTACTCTTGGACTTTAATCACTCATGCATTTGTTACTTCCATGTCAGCAGCTCATTCAATTACACTATGCAAATTAATTAATATCTAGTTGTATCTTGATCAAAAATTTATTTTTTTAAGCACCAAGTCAACCACCAACAAACATTGCATGGAAACTGACAAATTCAAAAATCTACTTGAAGTGGGAACATGTAAAAACAATGGAGAATGAATCAGAAGTGTTAGGCTACAAAGTAATTTCTGTAATTCATTTTGTCCATCAGACTCTTTTTATAACAGAAGCATAGAAATGACTAAATTTATAACAGAAGCATAAAAATGTTGAAATGCTTTCCTTGAAACTTCATTACCTGCAGCATAGTGACTTTTCTTCAGTTACTGGAAGGGTTGGCTGACATTTATACAAAGAGTGTGAAAGAGTAACTGTTGTTGGGATCTCATTATCCCAACATGGTGGAGATATTATGCCCTGAACACTGGATCTCTCTCGACATGTTTCCCCTGGAAGCTTACTCATTAGGTTCTTACATTCCCATCTATTCTACACACATTTGGAAGAAAAAAAAAAACAGTCTCTTAAGCATTATGTCTGACGCAGACAGGCATAAAACATGAAAGTCCTTTCACCATGAATATTCATAATCCTATCTTTGATCTATATGTGAATGTATGTATTTTCAATGTGAGTGAAATAAAAAGTCCTTCTGTAAATCCATCTCTTAAGAAAAGTAAAATTAAGTGTAAAGTTTGTTTGCAATGACTCTGGCCACAAGACATATATGGCAGAGGAGAAGAACATGTACTTGAAAAAGGTTCTCAGGATCTAAATATTTTACTGATCAAAAATTTAGTCTCCCTAAGTAGGTATGAAGTTATTTATATCTCAAGGGGAAATAAGCCAAAAAAACCCTTTCAGATTTTATTTTTATACCCTACTGATGTGTCTTTGAATAAGTCCAAGCACTAAGAGTAATGTTAGAACTAGACTACTGAGCTTTTCTGTCTACCTACTTGTTTCTAAGGCTCTACTTGGCTATTACATTTTGATGTTTTTAATGGTGCTTTAAGTACTCACTGCAATATTTACTGTATGATTTCTGTTAACTACTTCTGCGTTGCTCTTCAGTTTTTCTTTTTAGCATAAATATGCTAAAAAATGTCAGGAGAGAGGAATCAAGCACTGTGATTGCTAGCAGGGAAGAAAAGCTTGTTAGATGGAAAGCAGCTTATTGAAGTCTCCCCATCTAGACCTACTGGTGCACTCATGCACAAGGGACCTGGGGAGCTGGCCTGTACATTTGCACAGTGATTTCATTAGCAGAAAAACCTAAGTACAAACAGACGCTGAATCAATAAAGTTTAGTTCTTGAAATGTGCTTACTAAGAGGAACCCCAGCCATCACTATGCAGATTTGTCCCTGAATGCTAAAAAAATACTGCTATGAAGCATTCTGTTTTCTTTAACAGGTGGCAATTTTACAGTGGAGGCAATGTGACTATTTTTGTTTGACTATGCATTGTCACAAATAGACCAATTTAAAAAGGGCAGTGGAGAAACATTTTTCAGTAGATTTCAGGGTATAACCAGAAGATACTGCATAATAAAGTATTTTCAAAGTGTATAGGTTATTTACAGAAAAAATGTAATGAATAAGTATTTTATAATCTGATTTTCAAGGTTGGCTGTAATTGATCACCCATGGAATATAGGTAGGGTAAATAATTGAGTTATGTTTATTGTAGTCTGCATTACAGAATTCCATAGAATTTCAGTCCCTTTTTCTGTTTAATTCTCTGTAGATGCTGAAAATGCTCCAAAAAGTTTGGGAGATCATTTAAAACACTCTGCAAAAGAAAATCCATTAGAATGTACAAAGCCACATGCACACACAGAAACTCAGTAACTCTTATTTTCCAAATCCTTTTTGTTTAGATTTTGTACAGACAGAAGAGACAAAGCAAAACTCATGTACTGGAGACAAACAACACTTCAGCTTAACTTATGGTACCATTTGAAGAGGATTATCTCATAGAAATAAGAACAGTCAGTGACAGAGGAGATGGCAGCAGTAGTAAGGAAATTAGAATTCCAGAAATACCAAGTATTTTTTTTGCTTTCTTTCTCAAATAATACTGTTTAATAAAAGAGAAATCCATGTTTCTCTGAGAAATTGCCATAAGTAACCTCTTATTGCTTCATAGCATTTGGTAGATTGACATTTAACATTCTTACATTCTTTAGCAGAGAAAATTTTTCTTAAAGACTATAGAAAGGACCTAATTTTTTGTGAACATTGCCCCATATCCTAGCCTGTAAGCTTCAACAAGGACAGAGAAATAATCTTTCTTACTAAAGGTAAAACTACAGCTCAAACATGTAATATAGATCTTAATTTGCTAGGTGTCTTTAATACTTTAGTTAATTTCTAGTCTGTACTTAAAAGACCCTGACATTGTAAATTCCCCCAAATTATATTTTTGGGGTTGTCACTGAAGTTAGGACTAGCTGAAATGTTTCACCAAATCACTTGGTTTTCTGCTTTTGCTGATCACTTTGCAGCAACTTACTGGATTCTGTAAAACTCATGCAAACTCAGGATATAATCTCTGGTGAAAACTGAGAAAACATCCAGCAGTGAAGAGCTGTTTGTGAAGAACAGTAAACACATTCAGATCTCTGGCCTGAAAAAAAGATGGGCAGGGGCTTTTAGTTACACTACTGCAAGTTGATGATGTTGAAAGAGAAGGGCTATTGGGTGCTCTGGAGTCAAGTGCTTCTTATGGGAGGGATATACACCCTATAACCTCATCACTTCATCACAGCTGGAATGGCGTTCCCCATTCCAACAATTGGGTGTTGAGGTTCAAGTCTCTCTCATAAATACATTTTTTTCATGTAAAATGGAGCACCATTTCAGAACTGACTAACTAAAACGTTCCTGAAAAGCAATATTCATGGGGAGGGACTGTGCTAAGCTCATCCAAGTCCATACTTCATCAAAATACTGTAACAATTAAATCTAACAAAAAGTAAACTTGCCTCCTAAACCATTTTTCTGTGTAGTTTACTATAATAGAAATCTTTGTTCTAATTTTAAAAATAAAACACCATCTACAAGAGTAATTTGTACCTTTTTTTTATGTTTGTATTTTTTACGAGTTTAAGCTCTGGAGGAATAAAGGCTTCCCAGTGGTTAAAGCTTATATTGAC